AGGTGTGATCAGAAATAAAGGGGATCAGACTTCTGGTTTCCAGTTCCTAATATAAACAGCTTGGAAGTCACCACTCTGTCCTAACAAGGAAAAAACTGAACAGACTGAAAAATCAACAAATATTCTTAGATCTATAAAAGTGGTGTGAGGACACAGGGCAATCCCCTACCCCCCAGGATTAGAGAAACAGGTGAATACAGGGAGTCTTGGCTTATTGGGGCAGAAAGTCATGATCAGAAACCTACGTGGGAACCAATCTGGGGAAGGACAGCCTGAATTGTTAATGACGGATTGCTGGAGGCTCATTGTATAAAATGCTGAGAGTTAAAGCTCCAGGGAGAGGAGCAGGTATAGGGGGGCCTTCCACACTTTTGTGAGATTTACCTCCAGGACCTTGACCAAGTTCTCACCGTAAATATTTGAGAAAAATCTCCTTGTGTTTGCATCAGGAGGAGGGGAAAAGGGACCATTTTTACATATGCCAGAGCACTCTGCTCTACTCATCAAGGTTTGCTCTCAGGAGAAACCAGGTAACCAGAACCTAACCTGCTGGGGTATTATTAGAGCTTAACTGACCTGCGGGGGAGGGAAACTCCCAACTTTAGTCTTCCATATGGGAAAAGGCAAATACCCAACTCCAGGTACTTTAGCCATCCTGCTCCACCCAAGCGGGGAGAAAAAAGATCAAGAAACACTTGTGAGTTAACAGTCCAGAGGCACATGATCATTAAAAGCCCAAGAGCTAATCTATTGGACCATAGAATGCTTTACCTTCCCCCACCTCTTACCATTTTATTACTGAAGGCCTTTTACAATAGTTCCTTTTACCTGGTACATCATGCCTGGCTATCAAGGAAAAATTATAAGTCATAACTGAAAAAAGGTAGAAAACAAAATTTGAAGAGACAGGGTAAGCATCTGAATGAGACATGGCAGGGATATTGGAATTATTAGACTGGGAATTTTAAACTATGATTAATATGCTAAGGGCTTTAATGAATAACTAGACAGCATGCTAAAACAGCTGGACAATGTAAGCAGAGAGGAGGAAATCCTAAAAAAGAACCAAAAAGAAATGCTAGCGATCAAAAACTGTGACAGAAATGAAGAATGCTTTTGATAGGCTTTTCAGTAGACTGGACACAGCTAAGGAAAGAATCTCTGAGCTTGAGGATATATCAATAGAAACCGCAAAAACTGAAATGTAAAGAGAACAAAGGGAAAAAAGAACAGAACAGAATAGCCAAGGACTGCAGGGCAACTACAAAAGGTGTACCATGTGTATAATGGTAATACCACAAGGAGAAGAAAAAGAGAAAGGAAATAAGTGATATCACACTGAGGAAAGGAAGGAATCAAGCATTATGTCCTTGCTTTGGACTTTGATACTTTGATACCTTTTTAACACAGAGGTACTGTTAAGTCAGAATTTTAACCTAGGTCTACTTGATTGCAAAGTCAGTGTTTTCCTTTCTCTTTCACACTGCCTTAACTGTGATTTGGTACTGACCAAGTCATTCTGTATTGAAAGATGTGTCCAAGGAATCCATGGCATCATGTGTAAGTTATGTGTTTACATGTGTATATTCTTTGTTCACAGTAGAAGGCATGACCTCAAGTGGTTCTCAAAGTTTAAAAATCACTGAGCTAAGACTTCTGGCTTAAAAGCCTGATAGCTGGTGTTCATTCAGTTTTGTTCTAGAGATCAAATGCTCACTCAGGAGTATACTTTAAAAGTGTACTAAGTAGTTCTGCTTTAGGTAGTGCTGTAGGTTAAAAATTCTTCAAGATCTCCCTGCCATGAAGCACCAGGGTGTTGAATAAATCACAATGAAAATATGTCTAGGTGCTCTACTGAACGCTGGTGAACATAAAACAAGTCCCGACAGAGACAAACACATGGAGTCTATTGGAAAGAAACAGAATAAGGGAAACTTGAGTGGTTCTGGAGGCCAATGTTGACTGTAGGAACCTAGAGTTTTGGAGAGTAATGATTGCTGGGGGTGCGCGGTGGGCAGGAGAAGACGTGAGGCCTGCACACACTGAGGGCAAGTTGGGGACTGGATGTGAGAACCTGCATTCCTCCAGGTGCTGCATCCTTAGGGAAAGGTTGTGCTGGGGAAATCCCTGCTGGCCAGGAAACATTTAAGGAACCTCTCTGCCTCTCCCATATCCAGGGATAGAACCTAGTGGGAGCTAATATAGGTCTTGTCGGGACAAAAGCATCTTCAAACTAGCTCTTTCAGGATTCCCAAGGATTAATATTAGCCAAATATGATCCACCATAAACAAGATATCATGAACAAGACCAGCAGAGATAACAAATTCAGGCCCTCAAGGACCCAGAAACAAAACACCTCTGTGTAAAATGGTTATGTTATCAAACAATGTTATTAATGATGGAATTAAAATAAGCAAAGACGAAGCAACTAACAAATTAAAGTGTCACGAGAATCTATTTTACACCCACTAGATTGGCAGAAGTTAGAAAGATGGGTAATACCAAGTGTAGTATGTGGAGCAGCCAGAACTTTCCTGCATTACTGGGGGAAAGAAGAGTATAAATTGGTGCAGTTTGCTCCTAACAATTTTGTAAAGTTGAACTGTATACACTCTATGACTCAACGTTAACACTTTTAGATAAATACCCTGCACATACACCTGAACGTGCACAAGAGACACTTCTGAGAATGAAGTCTGCAGAGCAGCTGTGTTGGTGATAGCAAAACAAACCGAAAATTTGGAAAACAATGTGCAGGGACAGGAGAAAATAAACTGTGGTGTTCCATACAATGGTATGCTATACAACAGTGACGATGAACTATAGCTATGCACAACGTGTTTAAATTTCAGATACAACGAACCGCAAAAACACTGTTACCCGACCACATTGACTATGACATTTTTATAAAGCTTAAGTACTTAAAAAACTTAACAGTATGTATAGATAGAGATATATATATATATATATATAAAATATATAAAATATGCAAAATAAAAATATAATATTTATATATTTATAACATTTATAAAATAAAATATTGATATAAGCAAGAGAAATCCTTATATTTGAAATACAATGTGCAATTTTAAAATGTGGGGGAAATGAAAGAATATATAAATACAGTGATCTTCAAGGTTACCAATTATATTCTATTTCTTAAGTTGAGTGGAGGGCACATATTAGTATTCTCTTTATTGTATATACATTATTTATCTTCATTTTATGTATAAAAATGTCATAATTTTAAAAGACACTATGAATCATATATACATATATGATTCATATATCCCCTCTTTTCTGGATTTCCTTCCCATGTAGGTTACCACAGAGCACTGAGTAGAGTTCCCTGTGCTATACAGTAGGTTCTCATTAGTTATCTATTTTATACGTAGTATCAATAGTGTATGTATGTCAACCTCAATGTCCCAATTCATCCCCCCCCATTTCCCCCTTGGTATCCATATGTTTGTTCTCTATGCCTGTGTACGGTAGAAACTAACACAACATTGTAAAGCAACTATACTCCAATAAAAATTTTTTAAAAAGTAACCTGCTATGTGGAAGTCAGATGTATTTTTTCATATGAAAATAAAAGCATATTTAGCTGAAAAAATAAAAAAATTAAAAGACACTATGTCTGCATTTCTACCTGATTCATTTCTGTTTTGTAATACTCTTGATGAATGAAAGCTACAAATTTATAAAAGAAGTAAGACATTGACATAAAATAAGACACAGCTTACGAATGTAATTATTATTTGAAGTACTGTGGTTTTTTCGTAGTGTGTTATTCTCAAAGATAGAAATTTTGTTGCAGAAAAAATGTTTGTTGACTCTAAAAATCAATATATAAAATCACTAATGAATTTCTAATGCTCATAAGTGTCCCCTAAAAACAAAATAATTTAATGATGTTACACCATGCATGTTTTTAAATCTTTTGAATCTTGTTCAAGAGAAAATTTAAATTAAGAAAATAGATCTACAATTATTTCAGTTTCTTCTCTTTTGTTCCTGTTTATGTTCTCAGTAGAATCTAGATGTATGCCAATTATTATGATGCCACTCAAGAGACACTTCCAGTGGTACAGTTTTTTAAAGGGACTTTTGTAGTCAGTTCAGCGTGGAATGTTGAACCAGTAGCAAAATCTATGTCCATTTCCGTAGAATCCGTAGCACTGTCAAATGGTGTAACTTATTTGGCTTAAGGATTCTCTTCAGATTTGGGGGTGGACTTGAGATGCACCTATTTAGTCACAGAAAGGAGGAAAACACCTCTACATCACTTCAGATGCAAACCTTACATGGTTGAGTTCTTGCTGAAGGAGAGGCTGGCTTTGTGATAGCCCCGTTTTCCTCCTGTTGGGTGAGCTCAGAGGGTTTAACTTTCATTTAACTTGGCAAAATGCATGTGCAAATTTCTTACACTACAATTCCAGGTTTTTATTTTGCTTAAGCGTGTTTCCTTTTTTTGTAGTTGGAATAAGGAAAGGAGAGTGTTTATAGTAAAGTTGGCAATAAAATAAAGAGAATAAAGTGAGTTTTGATATCTGACCGTCCTCACATTATAGATAACTACATTGAAATTTAATAAAACATTTTAATTTAAATACACTTTAATAGACACTTATCTAACATAGATTCATTATTTGACAAATTTCTAAAGTCTTTTACATATATTTCTTGGTCTATAATGACTGTTAGCAGTTTGCAGGCTTAAAACGTGGCACTCCTAAAAATGCTGAAATTCCTATCAACAACCTATTCTTGAGAAAGATGTGCTTTATTCCATATTGCTTCAGTTTCTGTATGAAAGTTACAATGATTAATTGCAGTAAGGTTCTTCCTAAGGTTCTTCCTTCTTTCTTCTCCTTAGCTATACACATAATCATTTAAGTGTACGGAATAACAAATTTGTATACCATATGGCCTTCCCTAAACCTTCTCAGTGTCTTAAAGCGTGTTTTGATTTTTTTTCCCCGCCATGTTACTCTAGGATAGTTTCCCAGCACGATTTGGAGGAATTCATTTTGTCAACCAACCATGGTATATCCATGCCCTGTATACCGTGATCCGGCCTTTCCTGAAGGAGAAGACTCGGAAAAGGGTATTTGTTTGCTTCTTTGTTTTTTTATTTCCTTTCTGCTCCCCCGTTCAATAAATTATGATGCATACTGTATGTATAACATGTGCTGTGGTAAAATGTGTTTCTGTATTGAATATAACTCTAAAAGATAACATAAAAGATATTTTACAAAATGTAAAAACTTGTGATTAATTCTGAACAGTGTATCTGTGAAAGAAATACTTAAAAACTAGCTCTCTTGCTTTTCCACAAATGGGGAACATTTTAGCACATTCATTATATATTAAAGCCTCAGTTTAAAAGTAAAAAAAATTATACCGTGTTACTATATTGTTATTGGTACACTTAATTTCAAGTAATATGCAGGGAAAAGTTATAATTTTTTATGTTATAAATAGGCGTTAGTTATTTCACAATATGTATTACATTGAATATAGTGAATTTTGTGATCTCTAATATAATTTTGTAGTGATTGTCTTGATCAATCACACATTTCAGAAAGAATACTAATGTGTAGAAATTTTAATATCTCTTTAAATTACAAGTTACTTGAATTCCAAGATTCAGTTTTATCCAACAATGAGGATATTCAAAGTAGGTTCCAAAATAATCATTTTTCTGAGAATAAGAATATTTATATAAATTATTTAATGCAGTGCATGGCACATTGTAAATACCGAACACATTTATCACTATTGATAATATTTTAAAATGCATTTTAATGTACATTATTTCATTTTATCCTCCAAACATCTCTGAAAAGTAAGCTTAGTAAGCATCATCTCCTATTGAAAAGCTGAGGAAAGTAAGTCTTAGGATGGATAAATAACTTGCTTATTCATTTACACAGCTGTAAAGTTGTAGAGTTAACATTTGAATACAAATAGCTCTGCATTTAGAGATATTTTTACCACTGTGCTGTGACCAATTTTCAAATGATTAGTTCCACAGGAAAATATAGTTACTTCTAAATCCATAGGGAAGATAATTTTCCATGTTTCTCATGAATGAGAAGGCACTTCAGGTATCTCAGTGCCATAAAAGCCTTACTGTGAGTGTGAAAGTGAAATCATTGTTAGTATGTGTCGGTGTCAAACATTTGTGAACAGAGAGTTTTCTGTTTGTGAATTTGTTGAATATGTTTTAGTAATTTAGAAGGAAGAATTCTGTAAACAATTATAATTTATATTAGGAATTATTTCTACCACCAAGATTCATATTAATTTACATTTTATAATTTGGAAAAATGTATTGATGTGCCTCAGAAAAAACACTTTCAGCATTGTTTTATGAAGGGATGATCAGGTGATCCAAAATACCTGCTGGGGCTTTTAGCACAAATTGTACTAATGAATGCTTTTGTAGTGTTCACGCTATGCCGCGTGCTGTTCTAAGTACTCTTGGTATGTTAACTCATTTAGTCCCTCCAACAAAGCTTTAGGGTAAGCATTGTTATTTTCCTCCTTTTATAGATGGGAAAATGAGGCATAGAAGGTGAAACCATTTGCTCTAAATCACAGCTAGGAGGTAGTAGAGCTGAAAATGTGGATGTATTGGGAAAACTGTTCCAGGTAGAGGGACTAGCAAAGGCAATGGTCCTTAGGTAGAAACAGGCCTGGAATATTTGACAAACAGCAAGGAGGCCAGAAAAGCTGGAGATGAATAAGCTACTGGGGAGGATATTAGGGGACTGGATGGGCAGGAACATAGTGTGCCCACTCATAGAGGGTCGTAAAGATCTGGGCTTTCAGTCAGAGTGAAATGAGGAGCACTTGAAAGACTTTGAGTGCAGGAGTGACTTGTTGTGACATGATTTTGACATGATTTTGCTCTGTTGAAAAGACTGAAGAGTTTCAAGTCTACAAAACAAGGAAAGTTCTAGGTTTGGGGGTTATTTGACGGAATTTGATGATTTTGACAATGCCTACAAGAATGCATTGCTAGCACTATTCCAGATGGAATTGAGGTATTTGAATTTTACCATTTTAATTAAAACTATATGACTTGGAAATTTTTGTATGAGAAAATAATTATAGATTGAAACACCTTTAATTTTTAAGTATATAATCAATGCACAATGCAACGTTATTATATTTCCTTACTGGAATCCCAAGTGATTCAGCATTACAGTATTACTCAAACAACTTATAACACAGATGCTGTAAATCTATGTTCTGAAAAACTGGTAAAAGGAAACCTAGGAAAGAGTCGTGAATCCTCTTTCACAGTAGACATTTAGCTCTTCATTTTCTTAAATTAAATCAGACTTTGAGTTTCCAGCACACTGGGCTGATGGGAATGTCAACCTTAGGGGTTGACAGGGGTCCCTTCTCAAAATTTCACCAGTGTCTAGAATCTTTCATGTAGAGCCTAACTTCCCATCCATCATGGCCACTTTTGACATGCTCACTGTTCAAGCTAGTATTAGTTCATTGAATTAAGGTCTCCTTCTGCTCCAGCAGAAGGAGATGCTTCAGCATCTTTACTGAAGCCAGAACCCAATGGCGAGGTTTCAATCCACTACCCTAGTGCACTCTTCAGCTGGTCCACAGATGTGGTCCTGCCACACCCCCAAGAGCTGACAGGAAACAGGTTTTCCTGCTAGTTGTCACAAATTTCCACTTCTTCCTCAATCGTGGGCTTGCTATTCTATTCCTTGCTAATTCTTAAAAATATTCTACCCTCTTTCTACCATAATTATGGTCAGCTACCATAATCTCTTCAATGGCACGGTTTAGGAAAATAAATTTTTTTTAAATTTAAAAGTTCAGCCTAAGTATAATTGTAAGGTAATCTGAGGCAAAGGAGACCCAAAGAACCAGACTTCTTGCATGAAATGGAGGAAGAAAAAATATACACAGGGGAGAATATAGTAAAACTTCAATAAATGATGAGACAAATGTGTGCATGGCATATTCCAGCAGGGTGTGAGTAGTAGGAGATGTGCTCACAGAAAGAGTTCATAGAGGATCTTATAGGACTTACTCTAAGAGAAAGAAGAAGGCAATGGGGGATTATGAGCAGAATAATGTGACCTGATGGATGTTTTAACATGGTCATTCTGTCTGCTGTGTTGAGAATAGAGTGTTGGTGGCAAGAGTGGAAGTCAGGAGGGCAGTTAGGAGGCAGTAACACAGTGTGAAGGATGATGGGAGTTGAGTTAGGATTGTAAGGGTGGAGTTGTTCAGATGTTTGAATTCAGGATAGATTTTGGAGGTAGTACCAAAAGAATTTACTGACAACTTAGATTATGAGAGAAGTAAAAGATGAGTCAAATGTTTTGGCCTGAGAAACTAGAAGCATATTTGTACGATTAACTGACATTGAAAATAGGGAGGAGTTGATTTGGGGGAGAGAATTATAAGTTCAATCTTGGATATGTTAAGCTCCAGGTGCCCATTTACCATTTAAGTGGAGGTGTGACATAGAGAGTAGAAATACCAATATGGAGTTCAAAAGAGAGGTCTGGCTTAAAAATATAAATTTTCAGTGTATGGACAATATTTAAAGCCACTAGACTGAACGACATCACCAAGGAGTGAGTATAGTTAGAGAAGAGAATAAATCTGAGAACTGAAGCCTGGAGCTCTCTGATGTTAAGATGCTGGGGAGGTGAGGAATAACCAGCAAAAGAGTCTGAAAAAAGCATCTATCAAATAGAAGGAAACCAAGAGATCCTGGGAGAAAGTGTTTCAATGAGGAGAGCCATCTACTATATCCAGTGCTGCTGAGAGTTTAAGGAAAATAAGGACAGAGAATTATTGGACACTGAATTTAGCAGTGAGAAGGATCTTGACAAGAGCTATTTTCATGCAATGGTGGGAGGCAAAGCCTATTTGGATTCGATTCAGGAAAAATGGGACAAAAGTACTTGGACAATGAATATAGATGACTCCTTTGATGAGTTTTGCAATGAAAGGAAGGAGAAAAATAGGATAATAACTGGAGGTAAGGTCAAGAGAGGTTTTATGCATCTGTATGGTGGGGGAGGGAAGAGTAGAGTTGGCATGTTTGTTCTTTGATGGGAAAGATACAGAAGAGGAGGAAATCTGATGATGTGAGAGAGACAAGAGAGAATTGTTTGGGAAATATAACTGAGTGGAAGAGAGAATGAATTCTAGTGCACAGGTGGAGGGGTTGGCCTTTGTAGAGTTTATTCTTCCATTGTGCTGGGAGCAAAGGCAAAACATATGGACACAGATGCTAGTGGGTGGGTCTCATCTGGTTGCCCTATTTTTTCAGGGAAAGAGGAAACAAGGCCAAAGCTGAAAGTGATGTTGAGGGAGGAGGGAACAGAGTGTTAGTGAAAAGAGAAGTAGTGTGAATTACATTTACTTTTCTAAGGATTTATTACCTAACTCTTGCATGACTTGAAAGATAAGGTTTCTGACATGACGTAGTACATCTGATGAAATAAAGGTTGTATACCTAATAAAGTAGGGATTTCAGGTGCTAGAACTTAATTTTCCCAGGAAAATTATAGGAGAGAGAGAGAGAGAGAGAGAGGGAGAGAGTGTGCGTGTTTTCCTGTTGTGCTCTGTAAGTAGGAAGGGGAAGGTGTAGATTTTGCAATTAACCTTATTTAACTTGGGGAAGACAGTATCTTCCACCTCTGTAAGCCCCACATTATGTATTCCACCAGCCACTTGCTGTGATCATTTTGACCAGTGACCCGATCTCAGGTGCTTTTATACTCTTCCACAATTTGTTGAAATTATTTGTTGACTGGTGACTCCCATTCCTCTCATTTTATTTGATATAGACTAGTCTTTGTGTTCCAGTATATTTACTTCTGTGGATTCTAAAAGTATGGAAAGCAAGATGAACCTCTGTTCATCTTGAACCTGAAGTGTGAGATTTCTAAGCCACTTATAAATTATAATCTTTAAATAAATATAAAAGTTTATATGAGGTGACAAGAGTACTTTATCAGAGAAGACTGATCTGAAGTCTTGAGATTGAAATGAAAGAAGAGGAAAGAGGTAGCAATTTATGGAGAAACAAATCTTGAGTATGTAGCTTAAATAATTCTCCAGTTTAACCAAAAGCTCTATGTAGACAGTGATAAGAATAATTAACAGATGCACACAGCTTTACAGTTTCAACTCATTCCATTTCTGATTTGAATGATAACCATGGAAATCTCTAGCAGAGAAGATGCTGGCAACATTATAGAACATTGGTCCTTTGGGATGTGAAACTTCAGTCAACCTTTCATTGTGATGATGCTAATCTACTTTTATTTACATCACACACTTTGTATTATAAAGCAGTAATTTAGTGGTTACAGTATTCTTATTTTTACCGAAGATAAAGAGAAAGCCATACTGGTGACAGCTTTTGGGTTTAATAACGTGAATGGGCTCAGCAGTTGTTGAGTCCTTATGAGAAGAGTCTTTTAACAGCATTCATTATGCACATCATCAGCTTTGTACAGCTAACACCAGGATAATGTGCAGATCAACGTGCACATTAGATTCTGCTCATGTTCCCAGCTATGAAGCAGGAAACGAAATTTCTTGTTCCAGTTCTTTAAACCAATAATGATCTGGCCTTCTAGAAGCTACCTAAAATCCCTGAGCCTCAGGATTTTTATATGAAGTATTAGGATTACAGAACCAGCCTTCCTGTTTCACAGAGTAGATGAAGGGCTTAAATATTTTAACAGACATGGAAAACTCTTGCTTTGGCTTTCCTATCCTCAATCCTCCATCCCCCCCACCCCCCGCCCAGTTCCCAAAATCTGGGTGATATTTATTCTCCTCTGTGTGTTTTCTCCCACCCTCTTCTTGCATTTGTAGATATTTTTGCACGGTAACAACCTGAACAGTCTACACCAACTAATTCATCCTGAGATTTTGCCCTCTGAGTTTGGAGGAATGCTCCCCCCTTATGATATGGGAACCTGGGCAAGAACACTGCTAGACCACGAGTATGATGACGACAGCGAATACAATGTGGACTCCTACAGCATGCCTGTGAAGGAGGTAGAGAAGGAACTCTCCCCTAAGTCCATGAAGAGGTATGCTGGAGGTTGCTGGGAAGCGGGCTGGGCCAGGGTGGGGACACCTGATACAACTCCAGATTTTATATTTTTCTGAAGTAGATATTTGGTGACATTTTAAAGCCTTTCATACTCCTATGATTGGATGTCTAAGGAGTTTCAAGTCAAAGATAAATTCATTCAAGGTAACCTCAACTCAATGTTGCTCCAAATTCACAATCCAGCTGGCCCCTTAGAAGTCAGCCAATCCAGTGGCTTTTCAAACTGTTCTTTAAGGTTCTGGTTGAGTGCCTCAGGGCAAGCAGGTGGCGGGGGGCCAGTGCCCATCTCCACTGCGGTGAGACTGACTATCTAAACAAATTTTTGGACTCCTGTGTAAGATTTCATTTGAAGGAAGGGATCCATAGAGCGAACAGACACACACTTCAAACACTAACATTCAAAGCTTATGTTCTTTTTTCAGCATCTCTGCCAAGTTTCTGTTTAAAAGTTTCTGTCTAGCCATTCCTGGGGCAAAACACTGTCTTTCCCTACAGCTTTAATCTTTACAGAATTCACTGTTGAGTCAGAATCTGATTTCCTGCTTTGACTCTCATAGTGTTATTAGGCCTGTTTTCTTTCAGTCAATGGGTATTTATTCAACACATGCTCCGTAATAAAAACTTTCCTAGGTGTTTTGTATCCAATATGGGTAAAACATATGTCCAGCCATGATCTACTGGTGATCGAGGGCAAGGGGGTTGCCAGACACACACAAATGCGTAACTGCCTCTGAGTTTGCATTCTGTAGCAATTAGATGAAGACATCTAATTCTTATGCTACCCCAGGCCACACCAGCCCAGCATTCATTTGGATCACAAATATTATTTCTTGGTTCATTTCCTATCCTGGAAATATAGGAACCACAGCTCCTACAAGTCTCTCTTCACCTAATTCAGGGAGGACACAAGGGCATCTCCCATGTCATTGCAAACACTATCTTGCATCCTTCTCTGAGGAAAGCCTTAGGGTCATTTGGTCACCACTGACTCATGCAGTGGCATCTTTGAGACTGGCCTCTTTTATTTGCTGCTGCAGCTGCTGCTGTTCTTGGGGGGCGGGGTGTGATGCCTTTCTCTCCCCAGGCTGCTCCACAACTCCTTGGAGAGAACGGAAAGGCCAGGAACATCTTCAGCTTTAATTTCTCCACTAATTGACAAGCTTATCTTTAAATCAAGTTCGGGCTTTTCAACTCCCTCCTCTTAAAACAAGGCTTCCTAATTTGAGTTATATGCTCTTCTCACCAAAGGGGTTCATTGATGGACTCTCAAAGTGGTCTGTAAAGTGATAAAAGTTGTATTCAAACTGTGTGTGTATATGTTTGAATGTATGTATGTATATATAGATATATAAATGTATATATAGTGCTTTTTTTTTCTGGAGAGAAGGCATATTTCATCAAATTCTCAAAGTTGTCTAAGACAAAAATGGTTAAAAGCCATTACCTAAGAATAGGTTCCTTCTGATAAAAATTAAAATTCTAACAGTGATAATTGTTACAATCTACCATTTTTAATAAACTTCTCATGAGTTAGGCCCTTACTAGGTACTTTCTTGGTAACATTCACTTATTTAATTCTCACAGCAACCTTGTTAAACAGATATTCGTATCCCCAAAGTCACATAGTCTATATGTGTTGGAACAAGGTTCCAATCCATGAGGTACAGAGTCTTTCATGTTGTTGATATACATCTTGTCTACTCTTCTGTGACAGCATGACACAGAGTGCCCTCACTGTAGAACTGAGCTACAGGAGGATTTGGAGACAGCTCTCATAGGTGTCCCTTAGTCTTTTCCTTTGCCAGCTAGCAATGCTCATTTCCTTTAGCCCCTCCTTCTGTGATTTGTTAACTAATGTGGTCCCCTCCTCTGAGCACACCTCTCTCCATATCCTCTACAGCCTTAGCTGCATCCCCATCACCTACACTTCCTCCAAAACTTCCTACCTGCTCTCTTTGCCTCCACCTTTACCCTGTTCCCCTACCTTCCATTTATTATATTATCCATGTGGCAGTCAAAATAATATTTTAAAAATGTAAATCAGATCAGTTCACTTCTCTGCTTTGAATTTCTAAGTGACTGCTGATTATACAATGAATACAATCAACTCCATATCGAGACTTACAGTATGCTGCATGATCTGATCCTGCCTACCTCTCTCCTCTAAGTTTATTTACCTTTTCTCTCCTCCTCTACCTTTCAGACACAACATCCTTCTTTATTCTCCTTCAGCCTCCCCAGTTTGTTCCTATCCAAAGGTCTTTATTCTTGTCACCTCTGGCTGGAATATTCTTTTCCTCTGTCTTCCAATGGCTGGCCCCAAACAAAGGTCATCTCCTCAAGAGGGCCTTTTGGTCTTTCTCAGTCACCAGGTCTTAATCAGCTCTACTTCCTACTCATTTGAGACACTTCCTATCAATCACCTTCTTTATTTTCTTCATAGTTCATTATTAGTCAGTGAAATGATGGATTTTATTTAGTTATTTATCCCCCTGTCCTGCAATGTAAGCTTCAGGGAGACTTTAGTGGCTTTGTCTATCCTGTTCTCTTCTGAATCCTCAGTGCCTGGAGTGGAGCCTGGCACACAAACCATGCTCACTAGGCACCAGTTAAATGAATGAAGGAGTCCTCTGCTGTCTGTCAGTGGCCCCTTTTAGGTGCAGTGTTTAGAATTGTAGAGGTGACATCTGACGTTATCATTACTTGCATAGAGGTTCCAGAATTCTGGCTTTGCAGTGAGGACCTGCAAACTAAAGTGAGGACACTTTAGTTGCTGTTGCTGTCACTGTTGCTGCCGTTCAGGCAGCCAAGGCACATTGCTGACTCATACTGAACCCCTTAAAACTGGTCTCTTTACTTATAGATCCTTATCCTCATAATTCTTTATTTCTGTGTTTAGCTTTTTCCTCCAAGTACATTATTTTAATTGACATCCTCTTGTTAGATTTGGTTCAGGCGATCCACATTTTGAAGTCTTTTTGGATTCTGATTTTCTTCTCCAATTAATTAGGACATTTTGTCCCCTGAAGACTTGGCTTACAGCATGATGACCTCCCCAACCCTGAGTTTCTTGCTTCTGACATGGGCTGATTGGAATTCCAGACATCCTTTGTCTGGTGTAGCTTTTGTATCATATGAAGCTTATATGGTTCTCTTTGAAAACTCCTGAAGAATGAGATCAAGAAAGTTGTTTCACTTTATTTTTATCTTCTCTCTGGCAGGGGATGGTAGTTCCCCATCAAGGACGGGAGAAAATTGTTTCTAGGTTCCACCCTTCCTCCATCTCCTTTTCCAGTTTTATATCATTCTTAGATTGAGAGGGGAAAAATCATTCCTTCACCAAAGAGTTGTAGATAACTGTTCCTTTGGGTGAATTTAGCTACGTGTATAGCTAGAAGATTATGTTCCTCCGTGTAAATTTGTGGAGAGATAGTATAATCATGTGAAAGAATACAAACTTCACTAGAGAATGGGTTCCTTGAACTCGGGGAATGTCTTTTACCTTATGCCTCTAGGACCCAGGATAGTGTCTGGCACACAACAGTTGCAGTGAGCATCAACACTAATGTTGTTAATGGTAATATGCACTTCCATTTTATTAAATAATATTCAACACCTATTGTTACTACGTACCAAACCCTACCTAATGCTTTGTATACATCAACTCCTTTGCTTTTCTAAACAACTAATAAGGTAATACTATACCCATCTTATTGATGAGGAGACCCAGATACAGAGAAGGTAAGTAACTTCTGCATTTCACATAGCTCCAAAGCTACAATGCTAATGCTGGAACACAGGTAATAGTGTTCTCTAAGTTATTTCCTTAACCACTACCATATGCTATCTGCCGGAATTAATGCCGGGGGTTATGCATGCATTATTGCACTTGATCCTCAATACGTCTGTATGATGTAGGTATTATTTTCCCCATTTTACAGATAAGGGAACAAAATCTTAGGAAGTTTAAATAGCCTTCCCTTGGTCACAGAACTAATAAATAGCAGAAGGTGGAATTGGAATCCATTTCTGTCTAAAATCTAGTCTCTTAAACACTAAGGTATAGCACAATATTGTAGATACATAATAAATGAATAAATGATACCTGGATAATTAAAGTTAAACTATAGGTTTTCATGAGGAAAAAAAGTTATTCATTGAAAGACAGTAGAGGCTGGAGACTGCTAAGATGTACTGTGAGTTAATGTTAGGTAACTTCCTCTATTGCAGTTGAAACAGACCAATTTATTAACAGTTATGATCCTGCACAAATAACCCTGTTTTTTTGTATAAGAGAGCACAAAAGAAAATCTAGACTAAAACAACAGTACACTTGGGGCAATTAAATATCAAAAAAATCTTAATCAGAAATTGTTTCTGCCTGGCTTGTTTTATTGAGGAATCGTTCTGCATATTGAGCCAGCAGCATTCATCATCCAACAATTCTGACATCTGTAGTGCATGATAAAAGCAAACTAGGACATCTATACACTACCAAACGTAAGGTAGATAGCTAGTGAGCAGCAGCCACATAGCACAGGGAGATCAGCTCGGTGCTTTGTGACCACCTGGAGGGGTGGGATAGGGAGGGTGGGAGGGAGACGCAAGAGGGAAGAGATATGGGAACATATGTATATGTATAGCTGATTCACTTTGTTTTAAAGCAGAAACTAACACACCATTGTAAAGCAATTATACTCCAATAAAAATGTTTTTAAAAAAAGCAAACTAGGAACTTAATCCCAGGTTGGATAGTGCACTGTAATTTAAACTATTTTATTAACATTGCCATATCCTCTAATATTTTTTTATTTTAAAAAAATTTTTAACATCTTTATTGGAGTATAATTGCTTTACAATGGTGTGTTAGTTTCTGCTTTATAACAAAGTGAATCAGTTATGCATATACATATGTCCCCATATCTCTTCCCTCTTGTGTCTCCCTCCCTCCCACCCTCCCTATCCCACCCCTCTAGTGTGGTCACAAAGCACTGAACTGATCTCCCTGTGCTATGTGGCTGCTTCCCACTAGCTATCTATTTTACATTTGATAGTAAAAGTAGTCAAGGAACGTAAGGATTTAAAAGATGTGTGTGCATGTGTATGTGTATTTGTATGATATGTGTTTTAATAGAACATTATGGCAAATGATTATATTGTAGACTCTGTGCTGTCTGAAGAGCTTTGGTGTATACTTGAATATTATTAGGATATGCCTCAACATTTATATATTTAACTTTGTGAGAATTTTAAAATAAATGTTTTTGTTAAGAATTTCTTTCTCCACAGGATAAATTGCTTTATCTTCATCACTCTTCGCTTTGAATGTTTGATAGCCATCTTCTTTCAGTATGGAAACTATTTATTGGATAAAAGTTAATCAAAATCCTACTGTGTAACAGACTCTGTGACATGCATTGTGTTCACAGCAAGGAGAGAAACTGATAAAGTCCCTGCTTATGGAATTTATAGTCTAGTGGGTACTCGTTGTCAAGTAACCCTCTAGTGCAGGACATTAAATGAACCCCTGTATATTTTAGCATGGATTCATCTTGGGAAACCAATTATTTCAGTTGAGTCTAAGAAAAACAATGTTACAAGTCTAATTATTAAGTGCTTTGTGCAATTGTCAATTGTGTTAAAATGTATTTTATTCATGTACTTTTTTCTAAGATAAATTATCATTTCTCCTTCTCCTTCCCTCTCTCTCTGTCTCTTTCTCTCTCCTGCACACACACAGACACACACACACACACACACACACACACACCCCACATTCAACTGCAGCCAGTCTCCATTCTGACACATGCATCTAATACCTATTATTGAGGTAAAATAGTGAAAGTGATTTAGGAAATAAACCTCCTTATTTTAAAGTTCTCACCTTCCTTTTCATTCTCTCTTTAGAAATGAATTTAAGTTTATTTAAATGAAGGAGTCAATTTATCAGTTAATTCTGTAATTATTTTTGCTTTGATAATTAGTTCCATTGCTGTTCTTCTTCATTAGCATGTGTGGTTGTATTTTAGCTTATAGTCTTTCTTTTTGAAAATTAATGAGGTCTGTGAAGAGGCATATTGCCACAGCAATAGCCAAATGGTTGGAATGCAGCAGCAGGGGAAAAATTCATTATGGAGGAGAATTTAAAAGGGCAGCTGCTTCTTTAATGCCATAGCCATTAAGATGACAGCTTCCTGCCACCACAGTAGCACTTTTCATTGACTTTCCTATGTTGTTTCCTAGTGAGGAACTGAGATATAATTCCCACCTGCTATCAAAGGCATGTGCAAGGGGTTTTCACATTATTTGCTTTCCTAATCATAAAGTGCTCCTGACTAAACAAGAGGGGTTTCTACTTTTCTTAAAGTTTTCAAGAGTAAGATTGATTTTATTCAGATGCCCTAGTGGAAAATTGAACAAAACTCATATTGAAATATTGATTTTTTTCCTAAAGTTCTCATTAAATATAAAAAAAGATGGTTAAAAATGCACATTCCTGTTGAAGTCGTTTCATAGAGCCCTTTCAGACAGGAATCAAGGCTCCTTTTATTTCTACTTCTTTTCTTATAACAATAAGTTCACTGTAATAATTCCCCCATTTGGTGATCTCTTGGAATGCATCAGTCCTGTACTAGAAATTCTCAGACTCAAAGAAAAGTCTCTTCCTTGACTGTAAAGAAGAGAACTTAAGCCTATTATTATGTATTTAGAATCCTCTGCTGTGCATTATTCTATTCAGAGGCCAGAGGGGATTGTTTCCTTTGATGCAAAACATCACCATAAATGTATCTCTTTAAATGTGCAGCATTCTCAGTTCATAAGTCTCTTGTTGTAGAAAAAGTTAATCCGCATCCATGAGAGAAGTAATAAAGGAGAAAAGACAGAGAACAGAAGGTGATTGTTTGGCAGTAACGCACTGACATTGGCTTTATCATTTCTAGATCCCAATCAGTTGTGGATCCTACAGTGTTAAAACGCATGGATAAAAATGAGGAAGAAAACATGCAACCTTTGCTCTCTCTGGACTGATAACTTCTCTACCCTCCCCATGGATTAGAAATGGAAGGTACTTGTTTTCAGCACCAGGGCCAGCGCTGTGGAGGAATTACCAGCTGGAAATTTATTTATTCACGTTAATGTAGCATAATATATAAGACATCAGGCTTTCCCGTTTGCCTGAACCATGGGTGCCCTGGTCTGAATTTTTTTTAAAAGGTCAATAATTTATTCTGTAAGTGCCAAGTTCTTTGTAAATACAATGTACTCTTCACGTCAAGTTTGTAAATTTTGGTAGTAACTTAAATTGGAAGATTGGCTTATGAGTCTATGCCAGTGATATGAACTATAACAAGAACAAAAAAGACACATAAGCAATTAAAGCTAATTAAATGTAGCCCTGTTTCCTATGAAGCCATATTTCAGCTATCATAGTGATTGTTTCGTTGTTTTTCTCTGAAACTGTCGTACTCAAATGTACATTTAATGGGCACAGGGAACTAGATGATTCTAGGAAATTATTATGATAAATGTATTAACTGTCTAGTGATTTTCAGTTCACAGAAAAAGTACCCTGGTGACTATCACTGGCCTTGCATTTGGGAGACAAGGAATGGCAAATGACCTGGTAAACTCAACACTTGAACTCTTCTATGTTGTTTAATTCCTGGAGTCTTGTGAAAAAATATGTTCCCCAAATTAAGATGTGGAATTCTGAAAGAGAGTGGATTCTTTTTAAACTGCTGTCTTCACAATGTGTCCTTTATTCCAGACCCCATTTTATCCCTGTCTGATGTACTTTAAGAAACTTTTTCCCCCAAAACTCTTTGATCAAGAGAAAGAGAACTCATACATGAATAGTATTTGACAGCTAATTTTGAACATAAAAGTTGCCAAGTACCAATAAGGGGCTAATTTCTAATTCTTGTGCACTGGTTGAAAAAATATATATATTCTCACACACGTATATATTTTTACTGAGCTCTAATAAATCCTCAATGTGACAGGCTTACAAAGTAAATCACACATATTCAATGGTCTTAGAGATGTTATAGATTACTGTATGCAATGCTAACTCTGGAAAACCACTTCCATTAAAGTTAATGAAAATAAGGTATAGTAAAACAGACTTTTCAGTGAACTTATTTAAGGGAATTCAATTTAATTTGTAATGCAATCTTGACTCTGCCATTTTAGTGCAATATATTTTGTCTTCAAAAAAACAACAGGTATCAACAAAGGCAGTAGGCAGTATCAGGTGATGGAGAGTAATATTGTTTTCCCCAAATTCAAGTTAAATTTCCTAATCATCCAGTAAGTTCACATTTTCTTCTCAGAAAAGATTTTAAGAGCATATTGCATCCAGGAGAGATAATGAAATCTTCTTAGGGCATCTGAGATACTATATTATAGTATAAATCTAGATTTGGAATCCTTATGTTAAAGTTTTCACTTCATAAAAATTCTGCAATGATAGCACATTTTAAAAATTTAACTTTAAATTTCAAATTCTAGTGTGAAAAAGCAAGATTTTTACCACCTTTTCAGAGTGGTAATTTTTGAGACTGAGGATTTAACATTAAAATATTCTTTTGAAAGAAAAATATCTCAAGGAACTTTTGGAAACCAACAGAAATAAAGGCATGTAGCAGCCTTCATATACTTCTTAGTCAAAAGCTTTAAAAAGTCAAGTTCTAATTCTATAGCTAAGAATCTTAAAATCAAGATCAGTACACGATTCTGCAGTGTCACCAATGGACTGTCTAGTATTTGTAAAAATACATAAATATACATTAAAAATATGAATGCAAGATACCTTAAAAATGCTGACCTCCAATCAAATGCAGAAGAATAATGACTGTCGGTCCTCTGCTCCACCCATAAATATTACAGAGATTGGAATGCATTGGAATAAAAAGCCACAGCAACTCTTAATCTAAGAACCTAACCAATGTTGTTCTTACGTTTTTGCCAACTTGACATACATTTTTTAGCATTGGGCTTTATATACTATACAAGCAAGTGTTAGACAATATAATGGAATAAAATGGAAAGAAAGTAAGTACAGGAGGCCAGTCAACCTTGCATTTTCATGAGTTTCATTTGATATGCACCATTTATTGCCAATTTTCAGAATTCTACCAGCTTCAGATGTCAACCAGCATAGCCAGCTTTTTTTTCCCCCTGTCATAGGCTAGTGTCATATACAAAAATAACTTGGAAGGCATATTTTATGTGTATACCTACCCACTTATAAGTATCATTCACACTCTCTCCCTACCCCACATTTGGAAACTGCATTGGCATTGCTGCTTGACGGCTCTTTTTCAAATGAGCAATTGAGAGTTGGCTGGATTGTGTAAAATATTTTTAAATGAATGAACAAATTACAACAATGATGTGTTTTGAAATTGCTGTATCTAGTTCGGTCTGCCTATGTCTTTTCAGTCTGGAAAAAAATTCCAGTAATGTTTTTGAAGCTGCTTAGAGAACATTTGATCAACTTTATGAATTTTCCCCTCAGCACCAGCTAACTAACACTGTTTAGGAATTTTCTTTTTCCTCATGTGATTTTTCTGTGTTACGTTGCTATGTCTACTGTTACATACATAGTAAATAAGCACCCTTATATTCTTTCGATTTCATTGAGATAGTACATCCCCACTCACACATACACACGAACACTAGACTGTTTGCTCTAATGATTTGCCTCTCTATTTTGAGAGCTATGCTTTTCTTTTTCAGTTATCTTGTTACTTAAAATTTGTAGGCATCAAAGAATTACCACGTTTGATTTGGAATAGGCCCATAATTCATTTACTTCCCTCACTTAGCCTGCCTAACCTTCTATTTCTTGTATCATTTCTTTTCTCCAGTGTTTCAGGGGCAGCTGCTTCCAAAGCTGGTTTAAAAATAAGTAACTTCCTTATGTTGTCCATGATATTTGCACACATTTTTGACTGATATTTTACAAGGAAGAGATTATCATAAAAATATATTCTAAGAAATATGAAGAAGTGCCTCTTTAAAAATGGAATAAAGCAGTGATACTAGAATATGGATTCTATTTGTTCTCTCTTCCAAAAAGTAAATACATGCATCTATTATATTATAAGGGTGAAATATAGCTATAATTTGAAGAAGGATATTTGAGGTCTTGCTTTGAGTATTCTCGTATAGTATTGTCTTTATTGTGTAAGTTCAATACAGTAACTTCAACATGTTACTGACAAACATGGCACTATGCTAAAACAATATACAAATATTAAATTGAGTGTTGCAGCAAGTTTTTGAAGTGCATGCATGATTACTTTTATTTCATTAATAGTTTGCATAAGTGTAGGCAGAGACATTCCTTAAGTGTTTTCATATAAAATGCTTGTTTACTTTACAGTACTGAAAATTCATACATTCATAAGCAAGAAAGCCAAGCAGCTGGGTTCTCTTTAATATTAACTAGGTCACATTGTTAAATTAAACATTTGACGTTTCCGTAATATTTCTGAGGGAACAGAGGTCCCTCTGATGCATCAAGATAATGCAGAATTGTTTGAAACATCAAGAAACATGTTTACTAGTCTTCACAAAAAGAAACTTTTAGAGCTATGGCAGTGTGTCTTCAGGAACAGACTTCCTTCTCATCTACAAATAACCCAAAAGCGTATGGACATGCTTATGGTCCTTTAAAGAAGTTATATCAAGAAAACCTGCTGAAAAGTTATACAATCTCATGTTATTTTATCTAAGCGTCTAGCTGGTTTGGTTGGTTAATAATTTCTTTTGCTTCTTATTTGGTGTGTGTTTATTAATAATTACTTGAAAAATTGCCACCAGTTACGAGGACATTTCAGAATGACTTTCAACACAAAATAAAAGGAGCAGAGCTCTGGCACGATGTGTGAACTTTCAGATATGGTATTTACATTTTTTGCATCAATCAGCTAATAGGCAAATGTTCCATTTTATATGTGCTATATAGCTATATAGCCTAAGAAATAGTGATACATTTTAAATTTATGAGGCTGTTAGATCGTGTAAGAATCAGCAGATTACCTAAAATATATTGGAACAAACGTGGAGGACTGGCTAAATATCCAGTGTGTGTGTAATTATCTTTAGTAGTGAAAAGGATTTTGTTTTGTTTTAGTTGAAAAAAATGTTTTCCAATATGCTCTTGGAACTAGTTAGCACTATTACTATTTGAAAGGGAGAAAATAATAAATACATAAGGAGACTTGGCTTTGAAACATTATTATATCGCTTTAATTGCTTAAAGCATATCATTTTTTTCATGAATTGAAGTTTTTATTTAGTAAATATCCATAGATTAGCCCAGCACATGGCCATAACACTATGGAACCTATTCTTCACTGAGCATGGGAATTTATTCCCCTATACTGTAGGAGAAAAACGTGAAATAGCAATGCACTGGACTGAGACACTCAAGTTGTACTATTTTTTTTAAAGGAGTGCAAATGATACTGTTGAAATAAAAAAAAATTAGAAAACAAATAAGCATAGGTCTTAAATACAATAAATGCACTTTTATAGTAAATAGTGGACATTGTTACAATTCAGAAGGTATTTGGTCAGTCAGTATTTGACTTAGTTTCAAATTTCATGCAAATATTTTTTTCCTTAATGATAGCAATGCATTTATTCTGTCAAACTTAGTTCTTGTGGTGAATGAGAGGGACCTAGATAAGAAGTGAACAAACCCTAAACCATATTAAAAAATTGCAATGCATTATAATTGGTTATATATAACAGAGGTTCAAAGCTCTGTCTTGTTCTTAATTCAGTTTTTCAGTTTTCATATTTGTGTAAAAGATAAATAAAACTCCCCAAACTAAGTAGTGTTTGTTTTCAAAACAGATTAAATAAGATGTCCAAGAGGTAATTATAAGAATACTGAGCACACTGTTCACTATTTGGCTCAACTACCTTTGACCTTTTGAGGGAATTGTTTATTCCAATACAATATTAAAAATGGTATAATGTAATTTTGAATAAATATACATTTTTGCTTTAAAAAAGCCTTTATTTTGCATATAGTAGATGTTGAATTTTGTAGTACGGATCTTTGCATCTGTGAAATGGAGATTTCTAAAATGTCATCTAAAAATGGGCAACAGGAACTTTATTTTGAAAGAAATTGTAGTTAGCTATTTTGGTTAGGACACCTGAAATTTTCTGATACTTGTATGTTTGGGGCTAAAGGGAAAAACACAATTCATTTCATTAAAATTACATTTTCAATAGTCTATAACTTCTAGACAAGACTTCAAAGGAGAGCTTGAATGAAGAAGTAAGTTAACTTTTAAGTTGCATGGAGCAATGGGAATGATCAATAAGTAAAATAACTAACATTTTCATATTTTCATGTAATGTTATTGGATTAGACAAGGAACTAAATTCAGAAATTTGAATTATAAAAAACATTGATTTAAATTCTATAAAAATAATTAAGTAAAATTTAAAAAAAATTCATTCTGACTTGAAAAAAATGCTTACTTAATAAACACACATTTGTATCTTCTGCGAGTTTTCCTCGTTTATTTTACCTGTGGATGAAAAACCATCTATGGAGGGGCAAGAGACACCTAACTAGAATCCTCTATAATTGATTTCATGACTTTCTTTAGCTCAAACGCAGATGATTTTCCTGTGCACAGCTTTTGAGGTTATCAAGTCTCGTTATTGCCGCCTCTTTCTAAAGCTCTGTCAGGAGGAGCGCACGTTTCTAGCAGCTACTGCAGAAGCATCCTGAGTAGGAATAAAACAAGGGCAACCAGACAATATACAAAAAGCCAGAGATATGGTCTGCACTCCTTGTCACTTAAAAGTGCATTAAACTGTATTACTAATTCTAAATACAGAAAATGATTTCAAAATGTCAAGACTTTCTGATATCAAGAGTTAAACATTCTTAGCCCAAGAACAGAGGCCATGGGGACATGATGGGCAGGGCTCTGGTATGTAGTCTGTCTGCACACAGCAGCACCACCAAAACCCTTATCTCTAAGTATCACTTTTCTCTAAAAATAAAATATGGTCTTATTCCCTTTTTTCTAACTGGAAGCATAAAAGTATCAGTTGGAAACCGTAAATGTTTAGTTCTCTTTTAAGAAAAAAATGCTACGTTATACCCATATAAACACAACTCACTCAGTTGCATAGGCCTGAAATATTTGCATCCTGATTTATAAATCCTTCCTAAAAATTTAAAAACATATATAATAAGACTTTATTGCTAGAAAATTATTAAATGTTCTTTGTACCTGGGATTCGTGGGGAAGACTGGTAATAGCCTTTCTGTTGAATTCATATATCTAAACATTTTATTTGGATGTTTAACGGACATCTCACATTTAACATTTACAAAACCAAACTTCTCTATCCTGAACCTGTTTCCTCTTTATAACCTTACCATCTCACTAAGAGTCAACCCTAACCTTCTAGTTTCTAGGGCTTAAAACTTTATAGTCATTCTATCCCTCCTCTCTTGATCTCAAAACCACATCCAATCTGCTAGCTCATACTTCTAGCTCCTTTTCAAAGTATAGTATCCACACTCTGACCACTTCTCTAACCTTCATCATCAGTACCTTGCTCCAAGATTTCATTTTCTACCTGGAATAGTTTAATAATCTGAAAACTAGTGTCCTTGCTCTGCCCTTGCCCCCTAGAATCAATTTATAGCACAACATGTGAGTGAGCTCAGATGATTTCATTCCTCTCAAAACTCTCTGCAAGAGTAAAAACCACAGTCCTTATAACGATGTTTGAGGAGGAGTGATACGAGGTTTGTAAGCACCAGTATAGCAGAAGAGCATATTTTCTGATTAGGCTGGCATCTTTACCTGTACGATGCAAATGTAATTGTTAAGTAATTTCTTGCTTCTAAAGTTCTAGACACTATACCCTCTCACCCCGGACCTTGACTTTTCTTAGATCATCTCTTAAGCTTTCATCTACTCTTTAATTGTCTTGCTAAACGGTCATCCTTGCACTCCCAGGAAATAGCCAAGCATTCCTCCACCTCAGAACTTTTACTCTGTGTTCCTTCTGCCTCTTTCCCCCAGATATCCCCGTAGCTTATTCCCTCATCTCCTCCAGATCTTTGCTCAAATGACACCTTCTTAGAACTCTCTGGATTTCCCTATTTAAAATCACATGGCCCTGTGTTTCTTCACGTATTTTTTTCTGCTCTATTTCTTCTCCATAGCTTTTATCACCTTCTAATACAGCATAAAGCTTATTTATTTTGTTCACTTTGCATTTTCCCCTAATGGAATATGAACTCCACACAGGCAGATATTTGTGTCTGTCTTGTTTACTGTTGTATTACCAGTGCCTTGAATAGTGACTGGAATTTAGTAGCAAATCCAAAAAGACTGCATGAATATCTTAAGTTGTTTCAACAAGTTATGTATTAGCCAGTAGTATACATTTAAGGAGAGTCCTTTTTTTCTTAATAAGAAATATTTTTTTAAAACATCATCAAAGTGGGAATTTATCATGAGCCGAGAATTCTCTTCCCCTTTCTCCCAAATCTGGTCTCTACTCCAGGGCCCAAATTTTACATAACTTTTGAGCTTTATCTTTGGAAGTCACCCTAAGATCATTAGATGTTGTGTCTATATATTCATGGCTTATATTTACACCTAGAGAGACTACAAGATACCTCAGATGAAAAGTCATTTTGAGCTCAAAACCATAGTAAATTGTTCTTTGTTGATTATCCTAGTTAATTCCAATTTTTAAAAATTGCAGGAAGTTAAAAGACCATAGTTCTTCCACTATGGAAGACAGATCAAGAGAATATGCCTATAGACTTACTGGAAAGGAGAGGGAAAAAGCAGGAAGAAGGAAAGAGATAATGATCACCCTTTCTCTGAAACAATTATAAATGAGGAAGTTTTTTGGTGTTTCTAAGAGCTTCCCATGATCTAGAAATCTATATGTTACACTACTTAGTCCATGAGCCCTCTTAACAGAAGTCTTATATCAAATGAGTTTTATATTTGATATCTTTACATATTTCTTATAGTCCTGACACCACACGACAGGAATTGATCAAACTCATATAGTCTAACTGGCTTTCCAACTTTCTCCCTTCTCTGTACTTTACTTGCAGGTATCATTTTCTGAACTTTACAATCACATTTTTTTTTGTCCTTAACTATCCCCATATTATTTTTTTTACAATTTGGACACATCCATAATTTTAGTAACCGAATATCTTAGATATTGATTCTTGGTGTGACAAGTTTCTGATTTTTATCCTTTGCAATTTATCCTTTTGTTCTTGTTAAACCTATGCTATTCCTTTCCCCCACTACATTTTTGTGCCTTTCCTTACATTGTAATAATTCAATCCTCCAGTTTTATAAGTTCCTACCAGGACTTCTATTGAGAACACACTGAAAATAAAGGATTGACAGGTGGTACTGAAGAAGGAACTATAACTTGAAAAATAAGGATAGATTTTTGAAAGTGTTTTCAGGAGACAACCAGTCTTTAGTGACTTTGTGATGTATAGTATGTACATTGGTACTCAGCAATGATCATGTTTCTTGTCAGTTACATAAATATATTGCAATCAGGGTTAATGGATTGTTTGGAAAACCTTCTTTTATAGACAAGAGATTAAATGGCTCTTGCTCAGAAACAAGACAGGATTTTCTTGTATTTCTATCCTTGACAGTCTGTACAGTAGAAGCCATTTGCCTCTGTGGCAACATTTTTTGCCAATCTTCAAGAATGTGTTTAACATCACTTCAGAAATAAGGGATTCAAGCTCAAGTATGCACAGTACATGGAAGATACTGTAATTCATGTTATCTTTTGCTGAATTTATTTTTCATGAATTTTTTTTATGATTGAATCCTAACAATATGTTCTTTGATAAATTTATTCATTATATGCACTTTTTAATGGACTTAGAAATTTTACAAAATAGGTCACTTTATTATATTCTTAAACCCATAGTATTCATGTTTCATTTAATGTCTAGATTATTCAAGTCTGTTGATTTCTGAGGACAAATGGATTTCTGTTCAATAAAGTGTCGCTAAATGAAATTTCAGATTCTAAAATGTGGATGTGCGTATATGCCCTTTCAATCTTTTCGTCATAAGCTAAATTCCTGTAAATTTAGAAGACATCGTGTCAAATAGCTATGAGTAACTTTGTCATTAAAAATGGAGACATATGAAAATGGTGTTAGTATTTAGAAGTATAAAATATTTTTAAAGGGACTCTAAACATTTGTGGGCATATTGTAATGTTATTTTGAATTTATTGTTGACTTGATACAATATATTTGATGAGATCGTTATAAACAGCAAATCACTGGAAAGAACTTAGTGACTTCTGGAATGACAGAATGGTGATCCAAACCAGTGTCAGCTGTAATGTCCTCCCCTTGAAGCAGTGGAATGGACCGGATGATGATTTCAGTTTATTTCATTTTTAACATTAACAGACATTAATTGAGCACTTTATCTGTCCCAGGTACTGTTCTAAGCTCCAGAGGTACGGGAGTAAACAAAACCAAGCCTTTGTCTTTATGAAAGTCTTATTCTGGTGGAGAAGACATGCAAAAAGTAGATAAGAAAATTATATACCGTCAGGTAGTAGTGTAAGTACAATGAAGACTTATTAGTTTAATTTGTGTGACCTCTGGCACTCTGTTTCCTCACCTGTGAAATGGGACAATACTTGTACCAAAAACATGAGCTAGATCTTGTTATAAATCCTCTTGTTAATCTGGCCCCTTACCTTTCATGGAAAAATACAATATAATCTATCATTCTCCTTGCTATTTTGGGGATGGCTATCAGGATTCTTCAGTTCCTTCATTTCTGCGCAGCACTGCCAGTGGTTGCCAGGGCTGCAGATGCTCACAGAAAATGAATCTTACAAGCTGCGTTTCAGGGTCATCCAGAGGTGCCAGTTCCTGCCCAGTTTTGTCCCTTTTAAGGTAAATTCCATACTGCTTTAATTCATTATATGTGAAAAATAAACATCAATTTTCAACAGAAAAGAAGACCAAAAGAACAAAAGATAAATGAGCCCTGATAGACTACACAATTTAATCTTTCCATTTAATCTGTTATTTTCCCTCATCCACAGGGAGAACCACAAACCCATGGTTTTCCTGAAAAGGTTTGGGTGTATTCTACGTGTCAGTATCACAGTTAAAGGGAGCTCCGATCACTGTAGATCCAGAGGTGTTAATTTAGGTAGAATTAAAAGGATTACTTCCTGCTGGTATGTGAAACTTAGAAGTTTTGCTTTTTATAAAGTAGTCATATTATAAAATACTCAGAGAAACTTGTGAGAACATTTGGACAAATTACAAGACACGGTGAATATAGATTATAACTCATCTAGGAGGAGCCGTGAGCAAATAAAAGTTTCACTTATGAAATAGAGAGAAAAACAGCAAATGACTTCCATCTTGGGGAAACATAGGGCTTCTCTTTTTCTGTTCATACAGAAAAATCACTAAAAGAAAGTGTCTCTATTAGGGCAGGCTAGATGCCATGTTAGTTAACTAATAGAAAAATTGAGTCTTCTTTCACATACTGACTTTCATAAAGGAATATTTCAGACCACCAACAATTGATTCATTAAATTTATGGGAAAAAAACCAGATAATCTATTATGATCATAATAAAACATCCTGTTTTTGAGAGCAGGAAAGTATTACCTATTTTTGTGAGCTGATGTGTTTCTGAAGTCTTTATAAATTTATTCCCCTCATTGATTATATACTAAAGATTTTAGTCAGTCTCTAGAAAAAAATAGTGGGTTTTTTTTTTTTTTTTTTTTTGCAGTACGCGGGCCTCTCACTGTTGTGGCCTCTCCCGTTGCAGAGCGCAGGCTCAGCGGCCATGGCTCACAGGCCCAGCCGCTCCGCGGAATGTGGGATCCTCCTGGATCGGGTCACGAGCCCGTGTCCCCTGCATCGGCAGGAGGACTCTTAACCACTGAGCCACCAGGGAAGGCAAATAGTGGTTTTTATACAACTTACATACTAAAAGGTATTTGAAAGCAATTTTTCTAGTGCAAAGAATTTTAAACCTTATTTTGCCACAGTTGCTCTTTTGTCATTTAATGGATATTATAAACATGTTTTAACAAACTTTTCTCAAAAATAATAAAACAAATTATGGATATAATTCAAGACTTTAAAAAAATCTAAGAATCTGTAGCATACATATTTTTAACTTGGAACGATTATGAGGATATTTGGTAATTATTCAATATATTTGATTAATGAAGACTGCCAAACAGACAGTTGTTAACACCTAAGGAAAAAAGCAAAAAAAGCTTTCTTATTATCCCTCAGGCATGGCCCTCCTCACCACAATCAAAAACTACCTCTCTTTTTGTTTTCCTTGAGAATAATAGATGCTACTGCTAGAAGATCCTTCAGAGATTAAGTAATCCAAATTGCTCATTTTATTAGTATATAAATGGAAACCTATAAGGTCTGTCTTGCTAGAAGTCACACAACTAATTAAGGGAAATGCTGGTACTAGAATGAAGATTCAACCAATTTGGTGATACTTTTGTTGCTTTTAATAACTCTTCCTTGCTCTCCTAACCCTTTATTATTAAACTCTCTTCTCCTGCATATGTCCCCATTTCATTTTTTTCATTTTTTTCCCCATACCATATACTGTGCTTGGAATTCTCCACCAGTATTATATTAGGTAAACATCTACTAATACTAAGAGCACAATATTCAGGGGTATTAAAATTAGAAACAGACTGTACATATCCACTATGCCCAGCCTTTGAAAGGATCTTAACAATCAGTAGATGTGGCATAAGCCCAGTCCTGCAGGAAGATGAAACTTTATCAGGCCTATGACTAAGAAAACAATAGTCACCCAATGAAGCCAACTATCTTGTGTTTAGAAGCATGTGTTCCTTGATTTCAAGAAGAAAATGGGATGGGGAGCAGCTCAGCACAACTACTCAACTTAACTCTTGACTATCGTCTCTACATTTGTCAACGATTAAAGGCAAATCAAAGGCCAGGAGGTTGGTGACTTTTTCTATCATGATGGCTGCAAATCAACTATGTGTTCCATGGGAGAGCTGTGGTACTGTTTGGGAGAGAGCTTCCCACAAGCATTTCCCCTACTGTGTTACCTTATTGTGAGCTTTTCTCATAGGATTTGCTA